TTCATTGGTTTGTTTCAGCTACTAGTTCTTCGCTAGGTACCGCAACCGCCGCGTGTTCAAGCGCAAGCGCCGCGAGTTGTGGATTAAGCGCGCTTGGGCCCTGAGATTTCAAACAGCATTAGTCGCCGGCACCAGGCGATCGGGCTGCATCCCCCAAGCATGGGTAGCAACTTGCGGGTCTTAGCAGGTTGCAGGGCTTGAGGTTTGCAGCTTTGGGAAGTAGTAGGCAGCGTACATGGGGGAGATTGTTTTTACCTTTCAGATTCGGCATAGCCGCCGGGGTCTGCCTGCAGAGCTGATGTGCTTGGCCGTGCTTGGTGCGCATTGAACACTCAGAAGCTGTATGAGCTGTCAGGTAGAGTTTGTCGTGCAGCGACGTTAAGAGTTTAAGATCACCAAGCTTCTTTGGCATCCTCTGCGCCCAGACATTTTTCCGACATTCAGAACGCAGGTTTTCTTGATGACATGTGCGCTCAAGGTCAGCAACAACACAAAGCTACACGGAGTGCGGTGTGGTGCTGAGATGCATGAACTTAGTTTTCCGCCCGCTCAGAGATGAGCGCCTTTTTCTAAGGTTGGAAGTATGGGCCCCTAATATGGGCCCTTAGGCCTTTTAGGGGCCCGTAAGGGTACATACAGAGTATATACTAGGTATATAAGGATTCCAGGGTTAAGGGACCATACTAGGGGTCTATAGTTTCAACCCTAGGATTTTTTTTGCAACAAATTCAACTATGTCAAAGATGCAGGGCAAGTGTGTTCTCAGCCTTGCAGCAGATGCGAGTGACTAGTGGTGAAGTCGCGTATCATTCATGTCACAGAGCCCCCGGAGCCTCGACAAGAGTCTGTTGAAGCATTCAGGTATAATGTCTTCATCTGCCGAATGAAGGTGCCGTGGCTGTCTGCAAGGGCATTTTTTTGAAAAGGCTTTGTTATTAGGGCCCATACCTCGCGCAAACCTTTGGGCCTGAGCTGGGAGTGGTTGCTTCATGGAAGCCTTTGTGAGTCCGGTCGAGTTCCCGACCCAACATGTCCTACCTTCAGGAGAAGAACATCAACATCAACCGCAAGATACTCTCGCAGCTGGGTGTTTACGACCGTGCAGTCTTCACGAATGTGCTGGAGGTGAATGGGGAATGGGCTCGGTCAATCTTTGACAGGAGCCTCTCTTAAAGTGGGCATGTTTTTGAAGCTCAGAAGGCTTAAGCATGCCATGAGACTCACTGATGTCCTTTGCCCTAGATACCTCACAAGCCTTGCTGCGCTTAGGAGAAGCATAGAACCTAGATGTGGCTAAACCCCGTGACCCCTCCGAACCAAACCGATGCAGACGGCGATTCCGGAGTGGAAGCAGCTGAAGGCCTGGGCAATCCTGGGCAGCCTTGAGGGCGATGCAAGAAGTGCAGTGGTCAAGGGGCTATCATTTGTTACTCTTGGGTGCATGCAGGTTGTCTCAAGTTAGTAGCCAGACTTCCGCTATGCCGTTTTCACAGGATTTGAAATTATGCTAGCCTCATGTTTCAACAAGAAGGAAGAGGCGGACAACAAGGGCAAAACGTGGAAACCTCAGTATCTTGTTCACCCAGCAAGGAGGCATGCACGCAATCGAGCAAATCGTCAGCTTTCTTATTGTGATCCGAATTTACTACCCTTCTCTTGGGTACTGTCTGCTGAGGAAGGAATACAGCGTCAAGGAGTTGGATGACGTCGCCATCCCGTGACCATGTTCTGGTCAATGCACAGCTGGAGCTGGTTCCCATGTTCGACATTGACTGAAGTTTGAGGGGCATTTTTGGGTGCCTGGTGCTCCAAATTAGAAATGGGATATCTCTCTAGCCGAGGGCACTGAGCTGCATGCTGCTTCACAGCCGAATTGGCAAGACTCAGCTTCTCCTGCATTCCTGTAATCAAACATTGATCCAGAGCTGCAAGAAACATTTGTTTAACGTTGACCACAGTCATTGGGAAGCAATTTGCACCAAGGAACAGACTCCCCAAAAGTGCATAAAACCTCTCCCTGTAAGCCCGGCCAGCGGCCTGGGCCCCGGCTGATGCTGCCGGCGCCATGGCTATGCCGTTCGAGGTCCCAGGCCTGCCAAGCGTTGGCCAGTCTTCGTGACATTGGTGTTCTTTATGCAGCAAAATGGAGCAAAGAGATTATAAAGTTCTTGGTGAGTAGCAAAGGGGCCAGCACTCGCTGCTTTTTCGATTCTGGCCTGTGCGTCCAATGCTGAGGGTTCCAGAGCTTATCACATACCACATTGACCTCCGTTCTCTTTATACCGCGCCTCTCCCTGCAGAGTCACTGGCCTTCTATAGGGTTGAAGTACTCCTGGGATTTGTGCAGCATGCTGATGGTGGGCTGAGGGAACCTCTTTGTCTCAGGTGGCCTGGGCAACTTGGCCCCCAAAGCTGGCGCCGCCAGGCACGTTTGGAGAAGTAAACTAAAGACCCGCACGCTCAGCCAAGCTCGGCAGCTCCGCTTTGAGGTCGTGGGCGGTCCTTCCTGCGCGCGTCAGAGCTGGGCACTTGGAGATCATTTCCAGCAAGCACCTGTTCGCAGATATGCAGAATGTTCAGACTGTCACCGTGTAGTTTCATTTAAAATTTGAATGTGCAAGGCTGTGTCCTGAAGGGTCCTGAAGTCTCAAGTCTAAGCAGGTTCATCGGCCCGAAGCCAATAAGCACCCAGATGGCACATCTGCCGTGGAAGCTACGGCTTGAACCCCAAAGAAACCAAGCTAAAAGCCTGCACGTGGAGCCTGGCAAGCGCATGGCGTCTATGCCATGGCGGATTCTTCGACCGCTGGGGAGGTCTGGGGGACTCCATTGACAGCGGTTTGAATTCCAAGGGTCTGCTGAACAGGAGAATCTCATCAACTCTGGAGGTCAGATGGATGGGGTTTGGTCTTGTGTGGAGTGTGTAAGCTACAGCTGCAACATGCTGCAACAGCAGGGAGAAGACAAACGATAATTAATGGTTGCACTTGGAAGCCATGATTGAAGCATTGCTATGTCAAGCTCACAATTTTGAATCATGTATTCTTGTTGATGAAGGGTTTGCTGAATCAGAAGGTTGTGTGGGTGAAGTCAAGAGGTGGGTCGAGTTTGGGAGGGTTGTATGGAATAAGTAATTGTGCGTTAGGTTGCACCTCCCCTCTCTCCAGCATTCGCATTGGTTCCCAAAAACGTTGCGGCTTTTCCTGGGACATCTTGGACGCCGTTGTTAATGCGAGATGCTTGCCATGATGTTGGATGTATGCGTGCTATGCTCTGTGGAAAGTTGACAGATGAGGACTCTTAGTGGAGGCTGATGAGATTGGTATTCTGAGTCTGAAAGCCGAGACATGGCCGTCCGATGATGGTTCGCATTTTTTCCTGGAGATGTTTCACATGTTCGCACGCCTGGTTTTCTTAGGTTTTAATAGGAGTAGCTTGGAATAGAAGCTTCAGTAGAAGGTCTGCTGGCAGCTCTGATCGAAGCTGTCATGGAAGCTCATCAATGGAAGCTAAATAGGATTTGAAAGCGGATTCATGGAAGCTCGAAAACAAGCTTGAGTGAAGCATTATCCAAAGCTAGAGCAGAAGTTTTACCTGCTGTACTAGAAGCGGTTGAAAAAGCTATGCCTCCATGACCAGTATGATGACCATGATGGCAACCATTGGTTGGAGTTGAAGATGGTGATTCTAAGATGGGTTTCTGCTGTTGACACACGCTTCTGAACACGATATAACACAATGTTTGTCAGGTGTATTTGTGTTGATCCAATTTCAGGTATTGTCGCTTCTCAGGTTGATCAGGCGGCTGCTGGCATTGGCAGCAATATGAGCACAATTAACCCGACAAAGCAAACCTGCACCCTTAACTTGCAATCCGGAACTGAACGCTTAGCCTGCAAGCCATAATCACACAGCCCGTGCAATCAGGTGTATAGCTTGTACATGGTGGTTGGTCATGGTGATTGGATACTGATAGCCGCTGATAGCCTCGAAGATAACAATGGCTACCGTGATGATTATGAACGGGATAATTCTTGTTTACTTCAGATGCGCTACTTCCATCTGGCCAGGGCTCTACAACCCGTGCCTGGGCATCGCCGCGGCTTTGTGGCAGGCTTATGATTGGTTGCCTCTTGCATGGGGTCATGGGTTTGCAGCCAGTAGAGCGATTGCGGTGTCACGTTTGTAGTTAGGAATGGACTTCTGGCCCACCTTGTGAATGTTAAGGGTTCGTTTGCTGTGACCAAGCGAAGCGCGCCAGCTCACGAGGCGAGCTTCGAAACTTCAAGACTTGCCAGAGACCATAGCAAGCCACATACGCCTGCACGCCTTTCCACGCCGCTAGGCGCGCTGCCTGTTCTACGAGCTGCTGATTCAGAGGCAGTGAAGTTCAGAGTGGTTGGAGGGAAAGTACAGAAGTGGATGACCACAACATCTTTCAGCTTACGACAAAGATGCGTGTTTCAATAACCAGCAACCAGCGAACTCATAGGTTCCTGCTAAATGGGCTTGCCACAAGCAGGCATGAGTCTCAGAAGCTTGCAGCCTTCTAAAGAGGGGCTACCTTTGACATAAGTCTCAGCCTGGCAGGAGGAAGTGCTCCGCGCCCTACGTGCTGCGGCAACTGAAGCAGGCAACATAATGTGTCTGGCCTGTTGAGGCCCTGGTGTTTCAGCTGTCTAATTGGAGGGCAAGTTTCTCCTTTGTGCCTGCAGGGAAGCTCAGTTTTTGTGGCAGTTGCTGCATGTTGCAGGTCTCGACCCGCTGGAAATCTACCAGCCGTGGTTGCTCCTGGGGCTGCAAGCACACGAGCTGAGGACTGGTGGGCCTTCAAAGCAGTTGTGTTGCGGATGGATCCCAAGAGCAAGTTGTGGTCATGCCTTTTGATGCCAAGAACACGGCAAAGGATTCTATCGGGTCATCCATTCCTGCACACAGCACCCACTCGGCGCTGCCGTCCCCAACAGCTAGACTCCGCGCCTCATTTCAGATCACTGAAGGCTGATGGATACGCTGCAGCAAAGCCTGCTGCTGCTTCACTCAGCCACTTGGCTCATAATGCAGCTGCTAAATCGCCAATCCCCACCCCCTGCAATGACAACAAGCACTTGGCGGCCTCAGCCAACTTGCTTTGTACCCTGCAGGCTACAGGGGATGCTGGTGCAGCCGTCGTGGCGGCAGCACTGCTGACGCGTGTGGTGACCGCTCCATGGAATGCCACCTCGCTCAGGTGAGGGAGTGATTGCGCTAGAAACATGCGACTGCTCGCGTGCAGATTCCATATTTCAAAATGAAGCTGGACTCCACACGAAAGATCCTGAAGAGCTCCCGCATGGACGTTCTCGCATTTTCGGTTGGAATCGAGCTGTGAGAAAGTAGAAAGAAGGAACGACAACAACAGCAAGAAAACAAGGACAAGGAATGAAAGAAAGCAATAACGACAGACAGAAGGAAGACAACCAAACTACGTTTTGGATGAAAGTAAGAACGACAGAACATTGGGGGCGTAGCCCCCGCCTGCCCTCTTGGGGGTGGGCAGAGCCACTTGAAGAAGAAGAACAATGGAAAGACAGAAGACAGAACTGCAGAAGGCACAGTCAAAAAATCCTGGCTCTCACGTCGACCTAACAAGAACCACGTTTTATTGTTCAAGTATCACCCCCTCCCTCCTTCCCCAGCCCCCCTTTCGAAAGCAGACATGATGCCCACAATGGCTTGGGAGCTCACGTTTTTATCTTCGTCCAGATTTTGTACATGTGGGGAGCTGTGTCACCGCGAGGTTTCGTGGCAGAAAAAAGAACTGTCTGAATTCAGCAAGGCAGTGCATCGTTTCATTTTCGTCCATGAGTTGCGAACTTCCTACGGCCAACTATGCTGTCAGGTGCCGCTGAACATGTTGTGTGGAAAGAAAGCATTCAGAGTTAAGGGATACTCTTTGACATGAGTCGAATGTGTTGAACAAGGTGGTATTTGCATGGAACCGTGTTTGAGGTTTTCCTCCCACCGCGCGACTCATGCGTGTGAATTTCATATAAAGTCTTGACGCGCTACTCTATAGCTGTCTGCAAAAGCATACGGCCAATCCGTTGAGGGCCATTCCGCGGCCGAATTTGCAAACAGCGATCACCAATGCAAACGTAAAACAATCTCATCTTCCAAGATCCACCGAAGCAGCTACGGAACGCTTGATTTGGCAGTTCTTTTCTTGCAGTTGGACCCGCTCATTGTTTTTGGAAATGCATTTTTTCGCAACATGCCGGGTGGTTGCAGTTTTGATCTCTACCATGAAGGCGACTCTTTGTTTCGTGAGCCTTATGTACTTCAGGGGTTTCAGTTGATCCCGGGAGTGTCATTTGTTTTTTTGTAGCTGCTTTTTGGTGTTTGCGTCCAATTTTTTGAGCCCCCACCCCCTGATGTGGTACCAGCAGCAGGCAGCAATATCCATGAAAACGGAGCCTATGCTGTGTGTAGCAGAGATGAGATTTGCTACTTTGGAGGTAGCTGCCCAGGCGCCGCTGTGACGCATTCGTTCTGATGCCAGTGTACATGGAGCTGGCAAAGGCAAGGCCCATCACAAAACGTGCAAGTCATGAGACATGCCGCGTCTTGTTAAGATGCAACGCCACCGAACGAAGTTCTCAGTGCATCTCAGTTTCGCAAGGCCTACAGCGACGCGCAGGCTCGTCGAGGTGGCCGCAATGGCGGTGGCGCTGACGGTGCGGCCAAGGTGTCTTCAGCTTGCATGCATTGCAGCGTATGGCAGCATAGCTCACACACAACTTAGCCGAATTGGCATTCAAATGTAAATCTGAAGTGTCATTTCACCAAGCAGGCTGATCAGTTTGGAAAATGGCGGTGATTGTTTAAGGCCTAGGCCCAGGCAGTAGGCCAGGTAGTTCAATTAATTCAGTGTACATGTTAGTCGACGTGATGACGCTAAAGTTGTGTTCGCTGGTGCGAAGCTGGTACATTTTGCGAAGCTTTCTGTTTTCTGTTAAGGCTGAAGCCGATCTACAGAAGGCAACTGCGCGTTTCCAGGCAGGATGATGCAGTCTGACAAGTACTTTTCCTAGCAGGTCAAATCGTCCGATCTGCACAATGTTATTGGACTTTCTGGAATGGACGCGTAGGACAACACCTTGGGTGCAGAACGAATTGACTTGACCCTCCTTTACGGTTCCCTGGCCAGGCATTCACAGAGGAGACCCGGTTTTCGCCGGTGCAAGGCCTAGGCGGGCAAACGCCAACTAGCCTGTGTCTCTGAGACGCAGGCTAAGCCTCAACCCTTGTTCCCCTTCGTAGCAACCGTTAGACTTTGTGTTTGCGTGGCCTGATGGCATGTGACGTAGCAGAACATGCGTCTCAAGCGAGAGGTTACCAGCTCGGCGTAGTGCTGCCTATCGGCCTGACATACTTCGGGGCCCTCTATGGCATCATGAACCATCCGGCCCGGGCAGGGATACTTCTTCCCTTCTCCATTGCACTGATGCCAGCTTGGCTAGATTGACCCATGCGCCCGTGGGTCTGCAGCAGGATGCGTTTCGAAGCTTCGTGACGGCGCCCAGCCTGCCTCTCTGCTGCATTCGAGTCCAAGCCTTCCATGGGCTACCAAACTCCTTCAAAGATTCGAACACTCAATGCCAATTAAGGCCCTGCGACCAGGGACTAGGAATGCAGTGTTGTTGCGCATTACGTTAGGACCCGCGCGCAAGTCTTCAACACCAAGCCAACCTCCAACCTATCATAGCTCAAGGTGGCTGGACTCCTTGGTGTTGCCGGATCCATATGGAGTGCTGCCATGTCTATCTGCGCTGGCCTTGCTGGCTACATGGCTCAGAGTTCAACTATCCAGCATTGATTTCCAGCAAATCGCATGCAAGGCGCTGAGTGGGAGGCTCACAACTTGTACCCGAGGGCTCACGACTGGGCTTTAAGGCTGCAAGTCTTAAAGCCTACGGGTCGAGTAAGCTGTGCGACAAGTTTTTCTCATTCGATAAAGCCCCACTGAATCTGGCTTACGCGCTGGATGGGCCATGTGGCCCTTCTAGACTTTTGCACTGGCCGGAAGAGGTCTCTGCAAGAGCGCTGTGCGCATTGATCACACAAGTATTATGAGCATTGTGAACACCCCTATGCGCCAACTCTGTATGCATGTGTGGCTGTCTTTGAGGCGAACGCCGAGCTCAATGCCAATCCGCCCCAGCCGGGCCAGGCACAGAGAGTGAGGCTTAGAGTCGGGGTCGTTGAGTTCTGAATGGCTTCGTGTTGGACTTGATGTGTGGCGGAGCTAAGAGCATGCACCGAACAAATACGACAGTGTGGCTACAGGCTCTCTGCGATGACTTTCGATTGACCACCATCTGACTGGAGGAAGACGCAGCGGAGTACTTCAAGCTGGTCATGAGGGGGGCGCTTCTCACCTGGGCTGCCGGGCTGACTCAGAATGGATTAGTCATAAGCTGTCGATGCCCACTTTGCAGGGGCTTTGGCTGCTTTGTTTTCTCCCTTGGATGTTGTGTGCTAACCGTGGTGCTGGTGAAAGTTGATGCAAGGATCATAGGATCGTACGGGTTTATCACAATCGGCCCTGGGAGGACTAGACTGAGGGCGGCAGCTGCAGTGAAAACAGTTCCTGCAGTATTTTGAGGCAGCACTGTGACTTGGAAGCCGCAAAATTAAGGTTCCGTGGACCGCGGGCAGTTTGCCGGCGGCGACTTTCTTGTTCATCGCCACGACTCCTGCCTGAAGCACGTGCCATGATCCATAGTGACCATAGTGTGCTTGGACGCTTGAAACCAATTTCTGCATGTCAAACTGCTTCTGCTTTGCGAGACTCCGGCTGTCTTCAAGCATAGCCAATGCGTGCTCAGCTGCTTGTGAGGAATGGTCTCTACACAGCCTTGATTACGCGTGCACCCTAGCCACACACGGCGCAGACACGCGCACCGTCGAGTTGCCGCTTCCTGCTGCCTCTGTGCTCCGAGGTGGTTTTATCGCAAGTACTGCTGGAGCCCGCCAAAGATAAGCTCGGGCTGGCAGCTGCCAAAGGGCAAAGGCTTCAGATAGGATTCTTGTACCTAGAAAGACAGCTGCCGTGTATAGTGCCTGTGCAAGCAGCCTCCAGCATCCTGAACCCCGGCCCTGAGCAGCAGAACAGCTGGCCATGGGTTTGCGGTGCATGTACAAAGTGTCAGGACGTGTTAGTTCTGTCGAAGACAGAGAACTTTTTGGCAAAAGCAGAAGTGGAGGCTTGAGTAGAATGCAGGGCTTGAGAACCATTCCATTTCTTCTTCCAGCCTGGAATTTGAAACAGAGCTTCCAAGAAACTTGATGCAGGGTCCGTGAGGCACCCAGAGCAGGGCAGAAGGGGCAGCCTTCTGACATCAGGTCAGAGCACAACCAGAAGCGTCGGCCGGACGAAGAGGACCAGGGAAGTCGGACAAGCTCAGAACATTTTATTGAAAAATAATCTGAGCGCAATTGAACAATTGTTCAATTGAAAAATAGTTTCAGCTTCAGAGTGTAGAGGCGTTTTCACCGTAGTTTGCACCTGAAGGAGGAGCTGGGCCGCTTGCGGAGCAACGCTGGCGCGGCATGGTTCCCTGGCGAACTTCAGTGGCGACGTCACCACACACTTGTGAAAATGAAGGGGACGGGACAGGTTGCAGGATTGATTCGTTTAACGATGTCATGTTACAATGTTCATCCTTTATTTGTTCCATATGGAGTGTAATTGAAAATCAGATCTTCTTCTTTGTTTTCTCGAGTCCGGAAAGCTTAGATCTCAAAGCGACAGGTTCTGAAGTCAACAGCTTCCAACGAGAATTGTTTTGAAACAGTCATGTCCGAATTGATGTTATGGACAGTTTTTAGATTTCGGTGAAATCAAAGCAATGCAGGAGCAAGCTTGTAACTTTACATTGTGAAAATCCTGAGCAAGTTCAAGTTAGTGTGGAACAGATGTGTTTGTATTTAGGCTTGAACAATTGAAGCCGTTTATCTCAACTAACGTATGGATCAGCAGCATCAGAACGTATGTGGCTTGACCGTGGCGATCTTGCGGATGTGAGCATGTTTCTGGAATAAGTGCCAGCTGCTAGATTCTGCCCGTATTCTGCCCTAGGTAGCTTTCATATTGCATGCCTTGCTTTTCAATGAGCCGGCCTATAACAGGATCTACAAGAGCTGCCTGCAGTGAGCGTTCCTTGGTCCCCCCCCTGGCAAGCTGGTGGACAAGGTGGAAGGGGATTGTGCACACCGCTTCCTGCGGGCTAGCAACCCTTTTCCAGAAACATGCTCTGCCGCCGGTCAGCGATTCTGATTCTCGCACCTACCTCCAAGCCTAACACTCCGAAATTGTCAAGGAGGTCCTCCCCGCCCTGGCGTCCAATACCATTGCAGCCTCAGTCTTGAAATTCAAGAAGGGGGGTGACAAAGTAGGGCCGAGATGTGGCGAATAACCTTCCTCCCAGACTCCCAGACGTCACGCTCGCACTAAACTTGATTTGCTAGCCAAGGCTTGTGAACATCACGCTCGTCGTGTGGATAGTGTGGCTCTACCAGCGCAGGCATGGCATTTGCTTTGTGTCAGGTTTTGAGGATGCGACAGCAGGATGCGGCAGTATGAAGGATTTGATGGATGTTTTTGCGGGCTGGCACCCTCAGCAGGTATGGCTCGCTCCCTCGAGACCTAGACGAAGCTGGGAAACAGGACGGCCTAAACGACAGCCCTGGAGTTGCCAAGCATCTTTCTTCGGAGCATACGTAGCAGTTGCGGAATGTGCAATAAAGCTTCAAGCTTCAGATTCGGAATGTTCATGCAATTCTTGGATTCGTCCAATGGTTTGCTCCGCCCCTGTGAATCTTTGAGTCCGTGATTTTCCCTCTACCGGAGGAGATCTTTTCACTCCTGCGGCAGCAGCTCGAGGACACCAATATGCTGGCAGACTCATAGTGCGCTCCCTTTTCCCAGCCGCAAGGCAGGTTGCAGGACCAACATCCCACACAGGCGAAAACTCCAAAGGACTAGGACTAGGATGATGAAGGTCCCTGAAGCATGCGGCAGGAAGAAAAGGGCACCCTTGCAGCAGATTTCCAGCTCAAGGAGGACATGAGGCCGGCACAGCGGCAGAAATCAGAAAGTCACATGGGTTTCCAGCCACACCAAATTTGAAGTTGAGCACGTGGCATGGTCCGCCAGCAACTCTTGGTATGCAGGAAGGAGGCTCTGGAAATTGCGGACGTGTCTTCAAGGCTGCAGGCGCCGCTGTTCATGAGGGCATGTGAGCATATAAGAGAGTATTGCGACTGTGGGTTGAGAGTTTGGATCCGTCAGGGGTTGAACTTAGTCTCAGGATGATGGTCTCAAAACTTGCACAACCCGTATCACTACAAGATGCAAAACGCATACCACGAGCATTGCACTAGCAGCATAGTAGCCAGTGTCCTAGAGCTGGCTTCACGTTCCCAATTGCGCAACGCACTGCTGGTCTCCGCTTTGCAAGGAGCGTCTCTTCCTCAATGCAGAGCCCGGTGCATCCGGGCCCCTGCGCAAGTCCCTGGGCCACGAGAGGGAAGGTTTGTCTTTGTATAGTAGAGATGTTGGGATGCAGCTTTGTAAGGGCAACCGCAGACTCACATTGATTTCGACTAGACTGCAGATCTTAAGATCTTAGGATGCCTAGCCCTGCGTGGTAGTGTGGGACATGCAAAGGCTTCAGCAGATGCTTGGCGACACGCTCCAGCAGGTGAGCTTGGGGAGGAAAAGAAGTGCAAGCCCAGATTCCCTCTGTTTCTGTGCTTGGCAGGTTATGCGCGAGGAGTCGCTTATCGAGTCCCGCGATGCCCAGCTTGAGAGGTCTGAGTTGGGGGTGTAGTAAGTAAGAGAGCAGGGCAGTGCCAGCGCATGATATCAGCAGCTTTCACTGCATCATTGTAGAGCAAGCAGTTTGATTGGAAGAAAACATTGAGATTGATTCCTTGCCTGGGAGGAGCTTTGAGGAGACCCGCCGCGACTTGCGCGAAGCAGTCTTGGAAACACAGGCATCGGGCAGGGACTATTCTTTTGGCCTGTGTAGGCGCCCTCCTCAAATGAATCCAATCAGCTTCAGCGTGGAGATTTGCCCTTCTGGCTTACCCTGCCCATCATGTACGAAAAGCTCGAAGGCCCCGCAGCAACTTGTGGACGACGTCGTTTTCGGTCCGCTGACCAGCACTGCAGCACACTTGGCGTACGGCACAGCCGCAGAATGTTCTGAGCTTAGGCCCTGAAAACCATTGTGTTACAAGTAGTGCGGTGGCAACAGTTGGCTAGGGCAAAGGAGTTTGAGATGGCTGGGGCTCGATCCCAATCTAGATAAGGATAACAGCTTAATGGCCCGCCCATCAAACTTTGCGAATTGGCAAGGCAGCTAATATGGAATCCAAGGGGTAATCTTGTTTCAGCAATCGCTTTCAGCGCTTTGGCAACCAATTTATTTGAATACTGCATGGTCTCAGAACACCGCACTCGAAGTTAACTACGGCAACTCAAAATCACACATTTACAGAAAGGGAAGGGAGAGAGCAGCTGATGAAGCAATGCCATGAAGAAGCCAGCCTTCTCAAATGCGGCTCTTCATCAATGCTCCGAGCTCCATGGCTTCCACCACCTTTGTTCTTGTAAATTCTGAAGGCCAGCGGCCTACTAGCTGGCTTAGACCTTGCCATCGCCGCGCAGCACGGGTTCCCAGTGGCTGAAATCTAGCGCATAGATTCAAGAGCTAATAGTTGCAAAAGGTGCTTGGTAAGACGGTCAGTGAGAGTCTCAAGAGAAGCTGTTCCCTGCTCTGTTCCCCGCATCGGCTTTGTGTTTCCAGCTAACGTTAAAAGAGGGAGCACCTCGATTATTACCCAGGAGGCATGGTTGCCGACTTTGCAGCAGATGGAGCAGTACGTTTTGTCACCTAAAAAAGGGGAAGTTATGGTGTATAGCCGAGCCTGAGACCCTGATTCTTGGATCCCTCACATCATTATCAGGGCGATGCTCTTTGCAGTCCTCCTCACCGCCACGAAACGGGCGATACCAGGCTTTGGGGAGGCCTCGGCTTTGGAATGCCCGGACTGTCTTTGCCTCATTCTCCTATCATGGAACCCTGGCTGATTTTCCGAACCTGTGGACCCTGATTATGTAGATGTATGAGCTTCGGCTGCAATTCTCTGCTGCCCTAAGTTTCTGAGAGAAAATTCACGTGGGTGTTTTCCATTTTTGGTAGATTTGGTTCCTAATCTGCTGCCGGAGCGGTGCTGAAGGCTGCCGAGCCTCCCGAGGAGACTCATAAAGGCGGGCAGCTGGGAGTATGCATTCAGCTGTGCAGCACTCAAGTTGAAGTTCATATGGTTTTGTGTCACGTCAGTTGTGAACGCTGCGCTATGACTGCCTTAGCCTGGCCGCGGGAGCGCAAGCATCACAAGACTCCCAAAGCAAATCTTTCAATTCTTGGAAAAAAGGCAGTGGGCATCGGACTCTGAAGCGCAAGATGTCCACACTTCCTGAACAATCGTTCAGAATGGAGTGAAAACTGGCTTTGAGCATCTTTAAGGGTCAAGGCAAGAATTGCTTCGGTTGGCATTCTTGCAAAGCAAAGGTAATAAGGGACGGATGGCTGCAAAGGCCGTTGCTTTTCGCAAGCTCTCCGGACAAGACCTCCAGCCAGTTATGACTTCTGACTTTGAACCAGTCGGTGAAGAGGGGAACTGTGATGAATACACCTTCCACCCCGCCCTTGCTGTTTTTGCGGCTTGCCTTCAGGTGATTTCATGTTTATCCTTTTTCCGTGCCAGGCAGTGGCAAAAAGTCCAAGCACACGCCTCAGAAGAACACAGCGGCACTGGAGGCCTGAAACATTCGCTGAAAGAAACGTTCATTTTACGGTGGTCATGGAATGCACTTGCCGAGGGATGGAGTCTGATGGAGATATGAGTTTGCCATGAGAGTTTCGGGCGGAGGCAGGCAAGGCCTTTCGTATTCTTCTTGGCGCTGACCTGAACTTCAGCCCAAGAATTTGGTCACATGCTATGAGGGAACG